AGGAGAGCCCCGATGCGTCTAAAGATCGGCCCAAGACGCTCAGGAGGGCCCCCAGACGGCCCCGGAGGCCTTCAAGACGCCCCGAGAGGCCTGCAAGAGGCCGCCCAAGAGGGCCTTAAGAGGCAGCTATCACTGATCTTCCTTAGGCTGTTGACGGCTGTTGGCTTCCTCGCCGTTTCGGTTTCCCGACGCCCCAAGACGGCCCCCAAAAAGGCGCCCAAGGTCGCCCAAGGACGGCCCAAGAGGCCTCCAAGAGGGCCCCGAAACGGCCCACGAGGGCCCCAAGATGCCCTCCTCCTCCTCCTCCTCCTCCTCCTGATCTTCCCCGCCATCCTCCTCAAAGTGTTCCTGAAGAAATCCCCCTCCTCCGGACTAGCTATGGACAGGTAGGTAGAAGGATGTAGTAGTGCAGCACAGCAGTAGATAGCAGAAGCACGGATGGCATGTTTCAGTAGAGTATGAGCATTGGAGCATTGCATTCTTCGATCTTCTTCCATAGCCCCTTTCGGCGAAAAAGCATTTTCATGGTAGCGAGTGTAGGCGGCTCGCACGCGCCCGGCGGCGCGCGATGAATGCCTAGCAAGAGAGGCACCAGAGGAGCCTCCCGGACCCGCGACCGCGAGGTACGCGGGCACCACCGCCGCCTGCTGGGCGGCGCACCGGGACTTCGGCTGGCAGCGGGTAGCTCCGCGCCGAGCCGTGGTCCGAGGAGGAGAGAGGAGCCGGCGGCGGAAGCGGGCAGCCCCGCTCCGCGCCAGGTGCTCCTCAAGGCACGGTCGAAGGCTGCGGGTAGACCCGCGCCTTCCCGTGAGCAGGCCGGGCACCGCGGCCCGGAAGAACCTCCGGCGTGGCGCAGGAGGCGCCGGCGCGGGAGGCGAGAGGAGGCTGAGGAGGCTGAGGGATCGCCAGACGACCCGCCAGCCGCACTCGAGGCGAGGGAGAAGGGCTTCCTCGAGGTGAAGATCGAGCAGATCTTCTTTCGCCGTAGGAACGTGTCGCCGGGTGGCGTGCGTGCACGAACAGAAGGAGGGGACGCGCGAAGTCCGTCGGAGGCGGCTGGGCAGCCGGAGACGGTCGGGAAGCGCGCCGGGGCCAACCAAGAGCCCCCACAGCATCTCTCGGCAGCGGGGAGCTCCGCGCTGAGGGAGGTGAAGCAGGAAAGGGGCGAGAGCCATGGAGCAGCAGCTTCAGCAACTGGCAGCGGAGCTCAGGCAGCTCCGGCAGGAGAACGCGCAGCTGGCAGACACGGTGAGGGTGCAGCAGCAGACGCTGGAGGCGATCCAGCAGCGCCCCGCCGCAGGACCAGGAGGAGGCGCGGCAGCAGCAGCAGCAGCAGCAGCAGCGGGAGCACTTTCCAATGAAGTCGTGGAGAGACTCATTCGTGCTCTTGATGAGCAGACGCGCACCTTCGCAGCCAGGAGCCGGCCGAGCCTTGTTGACAGCAAGGGCGTCGGCAAGCCAGCGGCGTACAACAACGACGAGGCTCGATTCCCGGAGTGGGCCAAGAAGACTGAAGACTATCTTCTTGGAGTCGAGCCGGCCTTGGAACAGGCTCTCGAATGGGCGCTCGACCAGGACGAGGAGATCACAGTGCAGCAGGTGCTGGAATCCTTCGGACCAGGGAGCGACCATGTCATAGACGGCGTCCTTGGACTCAACCTGCAAGTGAAGACGGTCCTAAGCAACCTCACCGAAGGTGAAGGCTGGACCATAGTTCAGAACGCTGACAAGAACGGCCTAGAGGCGTGGAGACGCCTGCACAGACGCTTCGACTCCCTGACCGGGGGTCGGCGCAGGAGCCTCTTACGAGCCATCCTGGCGCCGACCAGAGTCAAGATGGACGAGCTCGGCTCGGCCTTGCAGACCTGGGAGGAGATGGTGAGCCGTTACAACAAGAAGTCGTTGAAGCTTGGCGAACCGGCTATTGCTGACGACTTCCTGTGCTCAGCGTTGGAAGCCCTAGTGCCAGACGATTTGGAGAAGCACCTGCAACTGAACGCATCACGCCTCAAGAAGTACAACGACATGAGGCAAGAGGTGATGACGTGCTACGAAACACGCACGGGCAAGCTGGTCAAGGTGACGCTGAGGGACCGCATGCCGCAGGCAGGAGGTCCAGGTCCAACCCCCATGGACGTTGACGCCGGATCGCTTGCGAAGGGCAGAAAAGGAAAAGGCAAGGGCAGCGCAGGCAAGGACGCGAAAGGAAGAGGCAAGGGAAAGCAGCAGCACCAGCCGCAGCAGCACCAGCCGCAGCACGGACAGCAGAAGTTCGAGGGCTACTGCGACAACTGCGGCAAGTACGGCCACAAGAAGAAGGACTGCTGGGCGCCCCCGCAGACAGGAGGAGGAAAAGGAAAGAGCAAGAAGAGCGGCAAGGGCAGCAGCAGGAAAGGGAAAGGAGCAGGAGCGCTAGACGAAGGAGGAGGAGAGGGAGAGAAGGAGCCAGAAGGACAACAGGGAGGATTGGATATGGGTGCCATCGAGATCGCTGCCGTGAGCACGACCGACGGTTCCGAGTATGTCCGTTTCAACCTGGACAGCGGGGCTGCAGCGACGGCCTACCCTAGGGAGTGGTTCGCGGGTAGCTCCGCACCGATTCCCTCTCCAGATCACTCTGGATACATAACGGCGTCCGGAGAGCGCATCCAGGACTACGGAGGCGTTCGTCTGCACTGCAAGGACGAGAACGATGCCCGAAGGTGCATCACTGGTAGGAGGAGCGACGTGCGCAAGATATTGGCATCAGCGTCCCAAGTGTGAGAGAAGGGACGCCAGCTGATATGGTTAAGCGCAGACGGGCGGTACGTGATCCCCAAGGACGGCCGCATCGGGAAGATGCTGCAGAAGGAGCTCGATCGCCTGGTGAGGCGTTTCGGCGACGACTCGCTCCTGCCAGTGTACCGAGAGAGGGGCGTCTACAACTTCTACATGAAGGTGGAGCGCGCGGAAGACATCGCGCCGCTTGGCCTGTCGCCGGGTTTCCGGCGGCAGGGCCAGTGCCCGTAAGGCCGTTGGAGGGTGAGCCGGGTGCGGGTGGCTCAGCCCCGGCCCCGGATGCGGGTAGCCCCGCTCCGGAACCCCCATTGCTTCGAGAAGGCGTTGGGGAGGAAGCACCGGATGTGAAAATCCGGACAGGACCTCGAGCGCCGAGTGCGCAAGAGGTGGATGAGCACTACGGTATGGGACATGCTCAGTTCAGGTCTTGGTGCCGCCACTGCCAGGCAGCACGGGGCATCGGCGAACAGCACCGAGCCCGACAGGAGGACCCGGAAACAGCTGATCCTGTTGTGTGGTCTGACTACGGCTACTTGGCCGACGACGGCAGTGAGGACACAGCGTTGCCGATGCTGGTGATAAGGGATCGCCGTACCAAGGGGTATGCGGCGACGGCAGTGCCCCAGAAGGGAGTGCACCCGTACCCTGTGAAGTTCTTCGCGGGCTACTTGAAGGAGCTCGGTTCGAAGAGGTACGTGAGCCGGTCAGACGGCGAACGCAGCCTTGTAGCCTTGAAGCAGGCTGTGGCTGACCAGATGCAGGCAGTAGAGACTGTCATGCAGGAGTCTCCTGTAGGAGACCACGCAGCGAACGGTGAGGCTGAGAACGCGGTCAAGGAGGTGAAACGCATTGTGCGTGCGCAGAAGGAAACGTTCGAGGAGAGGATCGGTACGCGGCTACCGCTGCACCATCCGATTTGGACGTGGCTGCCACGACATGCTGCTGCGTGTCTCAGTAGATACCGTATCGGCGAGGACGGGAGGTCCACCGAGCAAAGGCGCACAGGAAGGCGCTGGGCGAAGTCGGCGTTGGAATTCGGCGAACGGATTCACGTGAGGCTCGCGCAGGAGGAGCCGCGGAGCGGCATGACTCCTAAAATGATAGAGGGGCGGTACGTCGGCCACCAGACGCGGACTGGCAGTCTGCTGGTGATGACCACCAAGGGGGTTTTGCGAGGCAAGACCTACAATAAGATGACGGCGGAGGAACGCTGGAAACCCGCTGGGCTAGACCAGGCGCGTGGGACGCCTTGGGAAATGGAGCCCCCGGATGCGGTTAGCCCCGCTCCAGGGAGGCCCTTGCTGGCAGGCCGGGAGGCTGCCGGGTCGGCAAATCCGCCACTACCCCCTCAGCCCGTAGCAGGAGGACGAGGAGTAGGAGGAGGCGGAGGAGGAGTGCCAGGACCCAGGAAGCTCTACGTGCTGAAGGCGGACGTGGAGCGCTTTGGCGGGACACCGACGTGTCCAGCATGCTTCAACATCATGTGTGGCTTGCCGGCAGGGCGCGCGCACACGGCAGAGTGTACGCAGCGAATGGCCAGCATGATGGAGGAAGACGAGGCGGCCCGACGGAGGCTGGACGCTCGCCGGGCGAAGCGGCCCCGAGTAGAGGCACGGGAGTCAGCGGGAGGCTCCGCGGCTCCAGCGGCGGGCGGGCCAGCCGCGCCGCCGGCAGCAGCACAGGCGCCGCCACCGCCGGGCGAGGAGCGGCCTCGCGGAAGGCCGGCTGCCGTCGCACCGGGCGAGGGGTTCGACGAGAGGTCGAGGAGCAGGTCGGCTGAAGGAGCTGGCCGGAGAACAGCAGACGACGACATGGAGGTGTCGTTGCCAGAAGGTGCAGCGGAAGCGGGAGGCTCCGCTCCGGCTGCGTCGCCAGGGTCTGGAGGCCCGGCTCCAGCGACAGGGGCCAGTACTGCGTCTGCGGAGGTACCAGGCGCCGCGGCTGCGGGAGGCTCCGCGCCGGCGGCGACAGGAGGAGGAGGAGACGTAGACATGAGCAGCATGACGACGATGACGATGAAGGAGGAGTTGAGGAGCCTGTATCGGAGGAGCATCGTTTCCGCGTGTCGCCGGAACGAGGTTGACCTCTCGGCGGAGGAGCTGGAGGATATCACCCATCTAGGCTTGCAGCTGGGAGCCGTGGATGTCCGTGAAGAGTGCCCGCCTCCGTGCCATGTTGCGCTTTCGTGCCACTTGGGCCTGAGACCTGGGGTGAGCGCAGACATGCAGGCAGAGAGACCGAATGGGGGGCACTGGGACTTCAGGAAGGAGGAGGACAGGAAGGAGTGGTACGACACGCTGGAGCGCGAGGATCCGTACATCCTCATCGGATCACCTCCTGCCACGGCGCTTGCAGAGCTGCAGGGTGCATCCCGGCTCAGGCGGGACCCGGAGAAGGCCCCTCAAGAGCAAGATCTTGCAGAACGTCATCTTGAGGTGGCTTGTGAGAGCTACCGGAGGCAGATGGCTCGGGGCAGGTACTTCGTGCACGAGCACCCCCACGAAGACAGCAGCTGGGACTCGACTGTCGTCCAGGAGCTGCTGGGGCAGAACGCCGTGGAAAGGGTCAGAGGAGCCGTGTGCAAGTGGAGCGCAAAGCCTGCGGGCCAAGGAGAGCCCCCTTCAGGCGTGCAAGGGTTCATCCGGAGGCGAGCCGGATTTATGACCAACATGCCCGAGCTTGCGCTGGAGCTCAAAAAGGGGTGCTCTGACGACGCGGGGCCAGAGCAGCACCGGCATGTGCCACTGACAGGCGGCTTGGCCCGCAGGGCACAAGTGCATCCTCCGATGCTGGCGCGATGTGTCCTACGAGCAGTAAAAGAGTCCATGAAGAAAGATGGATCTCTCTCTGGCCTGGCGGAGGCTACGGCTGGCCCGGTACCTACAGAGCCCGACACCTACGAGCAGGGCAGATCGTTCTTGGAGGAGCACGAGAGGTACTGGGACGACGTCAACGGAGGTTGGCTGGACCCCGCCATGGTGAGGAAGGCTAGGGAGGAGGAGGTAGGATGGCTTCGCCGGCAGGAGGTGTACGAGAAACGGACTCTCAAGGAGTGCCTGGAGGTGACAGGTGCGAAGCCTATCCGTTTGATGTGGCTCGACACCAACAAGGGCGACAACGAGCGACCGAACTACCGGTCCCGTATTGTCGTGCGCGAGAAGCGCGGTCAAGGAGAGGAGGGGCGCAAGTTGCCTGCAGCGTTGCTGTTTTCAGCAATGCCGCCTCTGGAGGCTGTGAAGATGCTAGGAGGCTTGACGGTGCAGAACAGGAGCAGCAAGCGGGGTAAGCCGCTGGGGATGTGATTTTTCGACATCTCACGTGCTCATTTCTACGGCCTGGCTGAGAGGACGGTGTACGTGGAGCTGCCAGAGGAGGAGCAGGACGGCGTTCATTGCGCACTCTTGAAGAAGAGCATGTACGGTACGCAGGACGCGTCTGCCATCTGGCAACGGGACTACACAGCAGTGCTCAAGCAGGACGGCCACGAGGCAGGCAGGGCGAACCCGGCCCTCTTCTATAGGAAGGTCGACGACTGTCGGTCCTTAGTGCATGGTGATGACTTCTGCGCCATGGGCGACGACGACGCCTTGGACCAGATCGAGCACACCTTGCGGAAGAAGTATAACTTGAAGGTGACTGGAAGCTTCGAGCTCGGCTCAGGAGAGGAACAGGAGGTCGTTTTCTTGAACAGGATTCTACGAGTGACCGGAAGCCCCGGAGAGGAACGTTTCGAGGTCGAAGCTGATCCACGGCACGCAGAGATGATAGTTCGAGACATGGGCCTCGAAAAGGAATCCGCTAAGACACTAGATGTTCCTGGGCTGAAGAAGGAGGAGGCCGAAGCGGAGGAGCGGTTAGCCTCGCCCCCGCTTGTCGGCGACGACATCCGGTTGTACCGCAGTGTGACCATGCGACCATCATACTTAGCACCAGATCGGGCTGACATTGGAGATGCAGTAAAGAATCTGGCTAAGCACATGCAGAGCCCGAAGCAGGTCGACATGGCCAGGCTCAAGAGGCTGGCAAGATACCCGAAAGGAAGACCCCGGGTGGTGCAGGTTCTCCGCAGGAACAAGCACATCGACAGGGGTAGTCCTTTGCCCATCTTGGTCATGGTGGACAGCGACAACGCTGGCGACAAGATCAGCCGACGGTCTACTGTCGGGCAGGTCGTTTTCGTCGGCAGCCAGGTGGTGAAGCACGCTTGCAACCTGTTGCAGGTGGTAGGACTTTCCTCCGGAGAGAACGAGTACTACGCCATCAGCGCCGGCGCCTGCACCGGATTAGGCATCCAAGGCTTGTTGGAGGACTGGCAGGTCCCATCTAAAGTCAAGGTGGTGTCGGACTCTTCCGCGGCGCGCGGCTTTGCTTCGCGCCGGGGCGTTGGGAAGCTCAAGCATGTTCAGACCCGCTACTTGTGGGTGCAGGAGAGGATCGTCATGCAGCACCTGGAGTTGGGCAAGATCGGTACGGCCGAGAACCGGAGCGACCTATTGACTAAGCCATTGGGTCGTAAGGAGATCGACGTCCACATGAAGGGTATCAACCAGGAGTACAGGAGCGGCAGACCGGCGAAAGGGTTGCTCCTGAAATAGAGGAGCGGCACGACGCCGAAGCAGCAGGGACGCGGGTAGCCCCGCTCCCTCGGGAAGCAGGTTGCTCTGCTCCCGGCGCCCCCCGGGCAGGAGAGCAGTCTGAGGGGAGTCGCGGGTAGCTCCGCACCCCCGCCTTGACGAGCAAGCTGGCTGCGGGCAGCCCCGCGCTAGCTACACTTTTCTGCGCAGTGGTGGTCGCGCTGGATCGCCACAGCTCCGCTACCGGTAGTCGTAGGAGGCAGAGACCTCTCTCGGCTGCACGCACTGTGAGCTAACCCAAAGGGTTCCCTCGCAGTGAGGAGGGGTGAAGAAATCCCCCTCCTCCGGACTAGCTATGGACAGGTAGGTAGAAGGATGTAGTAGTGCAGCACAGCAGTAGATAGCAGAAGCACGGATGGCATGTTTCAGTAGAGCATGAGCATTGGAGCATTGCATTCTTCGATCTTCTTCCATAGCCCCTTTCGGCGAAAAAACATTTTCAGTTCCCCGAAGGGTTTTCACAACAGTCGGGAGAACACATGGTCCGATAGCTTGGCAGAGCTCTTGCCACAATGCTCGGCCACATTGGTGATTCCAAAAGGCAGTGGGCGGCGGTGATTCGCCGTAGGCGCCTTCGATAACGGCCCGAAAGACACCAACATCGACGCAAAACGCCAGCTTTGAAAAGATCACATCGTCGGAGCTCTGGGATCCTCCACGTGGAGAAACCAGAAGGTACCCCGATACGGCTACTCCCCAGCTCGACCTCTCCCGGGGCGAGCTCTGACCAGCATCTCGAGGCGCACCCACCCGTGTTGGCGAGGGCCTCCCGGCCGGCCCAAAAGGGGAAAAGCGAGAGAAGGGCACCAGCATCGGTAATTGAATGTTCCTCATCGGAACATCCCTCGTACCTCCCTGGGCTGAGATCGGGCATGCCCTCCTACAGGCGGGCTCTGGAAGGAAAACAATTGCCAACACAAATGATCAAACGACAAAATAAACCTAGCAGGACAAACATCGTCCCCAGACTATTCTCTACTACTCCTGAATCTTCCTCCTCTGGAGGGACCCGCCCGATGTAACTGAAGGGGCCCTGGGACACACAAATAAATGCACACAAATAACAGGATTCCCCATTTGCTCCCATATTTTCGGGGCTTCTGTCTGCCCCCCACATCCCACATCTTCCCCTATCTTCTGGGGCATCGACGATTCATTGTGCCTGTGTTTTTTTCTACCTCCTGAGTAACAACCCCCCGCCGGCATGGCGCGCGCGCGCCTGTTGCCCTGCGTGCTGGCGCCGGCGACCGCGCGCCGGGAGACGCGGGTCCGGACCACGGCTTTGCCTGCGGGCCCTCCCCCTGGCCATCGCTCGGACGGCCATTCCCCTGTTTTTTTTTTCGGTTTCGCGCGTGGCTTTTTTTCCCCAAATGCTCAAGGATCGGGGATGGACAGACCCCCCTTTAGTAAAACGTGGTTTAGTGAAAACGACCCGAGGCCCAAACCTGGCGGGCGCAGGCCTGGAAAATGACGGCCACGGCGCCCTCTCGAGAACCGAAAACGGACAAGTTACTGATCGACGTGTCACTGTTGGGGGCTATGTCCACCCCCGAAAGGAGGCTCCTCGATGGCCCTCGCCGATGGAGAAAAGACGCACACGTCCGAGCGATGCCGAGCTGCCCCTCCGCGCCGCGCGGCCGAGGCGGGGCCCCGCCGCATAGGGGCCCCGGGCCGTGGGGCGGACCGCGCGGCGGCCTCGGAGCACCCCCCGGCGGGCAAGGCGAGAGCGGGAGGAGGGCAGGATCGGATCGGGCGACGCCAGAGCTGAAGGGGCCCAGGAGCACACGCATAGATACGCACAAATAATAGGAGGATTCCCCCCATTTCCCCATGTTTTCGGAGTTGTTGTCTGCCCCCCCCCCCACTTCAGATATGTTCCCATATATTTCTGGGAATCGATGATGAATTGTGTCTGTGTGTTTTTTTCTCCTCCTGAAAATCGTCGGGGAGACGTAGGACTCGGGTTCGGGGGTCTCGGGTTGGCCCGACGGGGCCACCATGAAAATGACGAGACGAGGTTTGACGCGCGCTCTCGCTGCTAGCATCCCACGAGAACAGGACCGTCAAAATCCTGGACGCGCTCGTCAAAAATCGTCGGCCAACCCGATTCCTGAAGCACTCGAGTCTTACGTTTCCCCGCACTCGAGAATCTCTGAGACCTGGCGGCTCTGGAGGACGTCTCGGACGCCACGGCCTTCTCAAAGCGTTCTGGAACGCTCTGAGAGCGCTCCGGAACGCTCTGGAACAGATGTATCCTCGTCCTAGCTGAGGAGAAGGAGGAGGAGGAGGAGGAGGAGGAGGGAGGAGGAGGAGGAGGAGGAGGAAGAGGAGGAGGAGGAGGAGGAGGTTGAAGAGGAGGAGGAGGAGGAGACGGAGGAGACGGAGGAAGAGGGAGGAGGAGGAGGAGGAGGAGGAGGAGGAGGAGGAGGAGGTGGGCGGGCCGAGGAGGAGGAGGAGGAGGAGGTGGGAGGGCCCCGCCCGAAGCGACCTCCCCGCGCGGTCCGTCCCTGAGATCCGGGCGATGCACTCTGCTCACAGCGGTACGCTTCGATGGCTTCGGGCCCCGGGGCCATCAGAGATCGATGCGCCCTGAAAAACATGGGCGTGGCCGAGTGAGGGGCCCCAAAGGGGCCCCTCCTCTGCAGCCCTCGCTGCCCCCCCGGCCATCGCCCCCCAATTCAGCGACGCCAGAAAAATTAGGGGAACGAGCAATGCCACAAACAAAAAAACTCGGAGGTCCGCGCGGATTTCTCGGATCCGCGCCGGACCCCCTAGCGGCGCCTCCGGCGCCGCCCCTGGCGCGCTCCGCGCGCCATGGAGGGGGGCCAAGCGCCGATCCGAGAAATCCGCGCGGACCTCCGAGCTTTCATGTTCATGCCACTTCTTGTTCCCCTGAAAATTTACCAGCCTCGAACGTATCCCTATCCCTAAGATTGACACGCCAAAAGGCGATGACAATCTTAGGAATTCGCCCTAAAAAATAAGGGAATCCCTAAGATGGGCATCGTGATGAGGAGGTGCCCAGCATACGGATAGGGATATGCTCCAGGCTGGTAAAAAATGCAGCGGACAGGTGGGGTCCAGGGTCACAGTCGTGATGCCTCGCGATGCCGCCACCGTTTTCCGCAGTGCCCGATCTCAGGGGCCACCGCGCGGGCCTCGGGCCCTGGAGGCCCCGGTCGCCCGAGACACCTCCTCGGGGGACGACCTGCCGCCCAGGACCGTGCGGCGACCCCGGGATCGGGAAACGCTTAGCATGGGGGGGGGGTGATGCTCAAGGGGCCCTGGGACACACAAATGAATACACACACAAACGACAGGATTCCCCACATGCTCCCATATCTTCTGGGTTTCTGTCTGCCCCCCACTTCCCATGCTTTCCCATATCTTCTGGGGAATCGTGGATTGATGGTGTCTGTGCGTTTGTTTCCCCCTCCTGAGATACATGGGAGGGGTGAGAAAGCTGCACTCTTCGGGCCCTCAGGGCCCCCTGAGGGCCCCTCTACGAGCCCTCACGGGCCCCTCTTCTCCGACCCTCGCTGCCCCCTCAGTTGTCGCCCCCCCATGCGACCCCGAACGAAATCCCTCCGAACGGCCGCCGGAAGCACGAGGTATGACGGAGGAGGAGGAGGAGGAGGAGGAGGAGGAGGAGGAGGAGGAGGAGGAGGAGGAGGAGGAGAGGAGGAAGAGGAAGAGGAGGAGGAGCAGATGGAGGCGGAAGAGAAGGAGAAGGAGGAGGAGGAGGAGAAGAAAGAGGAGGAGAAAGAGGAGGAGGAGGAGGAGGAGGAGGAGGAGGAGGAGGGGGAGAAGGTGGCCTGAAACCAAAGAGGGGGGAGCGACCTAGAAATCCGGGCACTGCAATCTTGCACCAACCTGAGGCGTGTTCGCCAAACTTCGGGCCCCGGAGCCATCACAGAGCGATCCGGCCCGACAGGTGTCATAGGAAGATGGTGTGCACGGCTCTGGTCGTGCTTCTTCGCGGTGTTGCAGTGTGGGCGCAGCGTCGGATCTCAGGGTCGTGGCGGCCTGCGCGCTGGCTTCCAGCACCACGCGGGTCGCTCGGCCTCGAGCGATCGCGGCTTCGCCACAGCTGCAGTGGCCCTGGGACACACAAATAAATACACACACATAAAAATATTCCCCATATTTTCTCATATTTTCTTGGTTTTTGTCTTCCCCCCCACTTCCCATATTTTCCCATATTTTCGTGGGAATCGACGATTAATTGTGTCTGTGTGTTTCTTTCCCTCCTGAACAGCGCAAGGCGTTCGATGTCGGACGATCCTGGGCCGCTGGCGGCGTTCCGCCTCGAACGCCCGCCCTGGGGTCGCCGCCGTGTCGGCAGGAGCTTCACCTGGCGCACCCTGTCTGACGAAGCCTCCCTTAACTTAAAGCCTCTTGCTGGCCATCGCTCGGACGTCCATTCCCTGTGTTTTTTGTCGGTTTCGTGCGTGTTCTTTTCGCCAAATGATCAAGGATGCTCCTCGATGGTCCTCGCCGAAGGAAAAACGCGCACGTCCGAGCGATACCAAGCTTGAAGCCAGGACCTGGACACCTCACGCGCACCGCCGCCCAGGGACGTGGAATGGGGTTGGGGGGCGGGTCGCAAGTCATGGCCCGAGGCACGTGCGCGGCCGAGGCGGGTGGGTCCAGGGACTGTCTTGGAAGAAGGGAGGGCCACAAGTCAGGACCCCCACCAACCCTTGGCGGCGTGGGTGCCTTGGAGCGGCTCCTCTTCCAACCCCCCTCCTGCGCCTTGGTGGAGGGGTTTACCACTGCTCCTCTTTCATCCCTATCCCCTTTCACACCCGATTGTGGGCCAAGCCGGGACATGCCCCTCTTCGCCACCCCTGCCACAGACATAATACGTAATGCACCTTGCCCCAAAATCACGAGCATGCGCGGGCGCCCCGCAGCCACTCGGCGGGCGCCCCGCGACCACTCTGCATTGGTTTCTGAAGGGGGTGGTGGGACGGCCGGCATCTTGCTTGATGCGCGCAGGCCAACAAACCTTTTCAAAAAACAGGCAAGAGTCCACCCAGTAACGGCTGTGCAATGGCGCACCTCGCACGCACTGCGCGCGCCGAGCACGTGGCGCACCTGGCGCAGCTGGCGCACATGGCGCACGTGGCGCGTTTGGAGCACGTGCCGCACCTGCCGCGCCTCACGCGCTTGGGCCTCCAAGGTGCTTGGTGCACGTGGAACCCGTGGCGCACGTTGCGCACAAGGTGCGTGCAAACCGACCGCCCGTCAACAAAAACAATACAAGATGCACTTCGCCTCCAAATCTGGGGCATGCGCGGGCGCCCCGCGACCACTTTGCATGGGGCTTTTCAAAGAGGCGGCGGGGGTGCCGTCATATTGCTCGCTGCGCGCCAGCCAGCCATCCCAGTCAACAAATGCAACATGCACTTTGCCACTACATCTCAAGCGTGCGGGGGCGCCCCGCGACCATTGTGCACTGGTGTTTAAAAAGGGGCGGCGGGGGGGCCGTTATATTGGTCGTTGCGCGCAGGCCAACCACCCGTCAAAAAAAAAGTACAGAATGCACTGCGCCTCCACATCTGGAACATGCAACGGCGCCCCGCGAGCACATTGCAATAGTTTTTGACAGGAACGGCGGGGGTGCCGTCATATGTCTTAAACGTGGAGCACGTGACGCACCTGGCGCGCCTGGCTCGCTCGGGCCTCCAAGGTGCTTGGTGCACCTGGAAACCGTGGCGCACATGGCATGCGTGGTGCTCCTAAGCAATCAGCTGAAGCTTCATCGGGTGTTACATGTTGGGAAGGCGGGTGGGGGAGAGCGAGACAGCTTCCGGGCGAAGGGGGGGGCCTCGTTCACTGCTTCTTATTGATAGACACCCCCTCCCCCACCTGACTGTTTGTAAACCCAGGACCTGCCACCCCCCGCACCAACCCTGTCAAAAAGCCATACAGGATGCAGTCTGCCTCCAAATCTCGACAATGTGCGGGAACACCGCGACCACTCTGTATCGGTTTTTGATAGCTAGCTGCGCTCAAGCCAACCATCCCTGTCAACGAAACAAGTGTCGATGATGTGATGTGGTTTTTCACCAAAAGCTGTTCTGCCTTGCTGCAGGCAGGTCAAAAGAGGCTAAGCCCTCCCTCCACCCTAGCGTCGCGAGGGTTTGTAGCAGTAAAAGGCGTCGGGAAGGGAAGCGGGTGGATGTGGCAGCAGTGAACTTCAACACTGATGCTCTTTTGTTTTCCCCTCCTCATCCTTCCTATACTTCGCCCGCCCACGCGGTGGGCGGGCGTGCGCAGAGAAAAAGCATGGGCGTCCTTTGGAGGCATATGTGATCTGCAGGTAAGATCATTGCGGGATGTCCGCCCCAAGAAAAAGGGTCCTCCACCGGAGGTGCCAAAGTAAAGGAAACCGACGTCCCCTGGAGGATGCTACTCCCGTTCCTGCTACTACAAGCGTCTGAGGGTGGAAATTCTTCACCAAGGCTCATGCAGCACTGAGGGGTGTGCCGCTGCTGCACCCAGAACTATAAGTCTTTAAGAGGCTCCGGCCAGTCGTTGCCCCGGCTGGCCCGGGTCTGCTGGGCCGGCAAGGTCTGCCGGAATCGCTCGCGTCGGCCTACTCCACCCATGAGGGTCCAAAAAGCCAGCCCAGATGGCTCCAAGAGGCCATCAAAATTGCCAAAGAGGGCCCCAACTCGCCCCAAGATCGCTCCAAGACGTCTAAGATGGCATCAAGATGGCTTCAATATGGCCCAAGAAGCCTGCAAGACGCTACAAGAGGACTCCCAAGAGAACCCCAAGAGGCAAACATCATTGATAGGTTTTGAAGTAGTCTCGTGTTCTCGCTTCTTCGACCTCCTGACACTCCAAGACGGCCCGAAGAGGACCCCAAGACCACCCCAAGACAGCCCAAGAGGCCTCCACAAGGGCCCCGAGACGACCGAAGAGCGCCTTAACACGCCCCATGAGGCGCCCATGACGGCCCAAGAAGGCCCCAAGACGGCCCCGAAAGGAGCCCGAGAGCGGGAACACGAACCGAAAATCCGAGCCTTCCTCCCTAAGAGGTCCCCAGAAAGGCCCAAGAGGCGCCCAAGAGGCCTCCTAAGAGGCTCCAAAACGGCCCCCAAGAGGCTTCAACCCTGCTTCCAAGGGGCTCTCAAAAGGCCCCGACGAGATCTCTACGATCATCCAATGGGCTTTACACACGCAACCCAGACACGGTGGCGGGATGGGCCGAATGCCAATAGATCCGCCGCCCCTTGTTGATTCATCACATGGGTGCCTGGCGTGCTGAACCCTCTCGTTTTTTTTTTTTTTTTTTTTTTTTTTTTTTTTTTTTTTTTTTTTTTTTTTTTTTCAAAAAAGAACTCCCCAATGGGCTTCGGCCCGACCCGCCGGCCACCCGTAGATCGCCCAATTCCCGGAAAAATCTTCCTACACGGCTCAAGATGGCGTCCAAGGTGGCCACGTTGGCCCAAGATGGCCTCCAAGATGGTCCAAGATGGCCTCCAAGTCCGCCCAAGATGGTCCAAGACGGCCTCCAAGATGGCCCAAGAGAGTCCAAGACGGCCCAAGAGGCCCCCCAGAGGCCCCCCAGAGGCCTCCAAGAGGTCCTCCAGATCATTTTCCTTCGATGTTTGAAGGATTTGGGGATTTGCTTCTTCTCGGCATTCCGACGGCTCAAGACGGCCCAAGAGGCCCCCAAGATCGCCCAAGAGGCCCCCAAGAGGACCCCATGCGGCCCAAGTGGCCTCCAAGACGGCCCCAAGAGGGCCCCAAGACGGCCCAAGAGGCCTCCAACACGCCCAAGATGGCCTCCAAGACGCCCAAGATGGCCTCCAAGACGGCCCCGAAGCGCCCCAAGAGGGCCCCAAGTCGGCCCAGAAAGGCTCCCAAGACGGCTCCCGACGGCGTCAGACGTGCCAGGAACCCACCAGGATGGCCGAAGTTGGCTTAAAGCTGACACAAGACGGCCCAAGAGGCCCCCAAGAAGGCGTCCAGGAAGGCCAGAAGAGGCCAAAAGCATTGATTGTCCTAAGGTATTTGACAGATTTTGACATTTGCTTCTTATCGGCCTTACGACGGCCCGAGACGGCCCAAGAGCTCCAAAGATCGCCGACAGATCGCCCAAGAGGCCGCCAAGATGGCCCCAGAACGGCCCAAGAGGGCCCCAAGACGGCCCCCAAGACGGCACAGGAGGCCTTTAAGACGCCCCCCCAAGACGAGCACAGGAGGCCTTTAAGACGCCCAAGATGGCCTCCAAGACGGCCCTGGAGCATTCCAAGAGGGCCCCAAGTCGGCCCATAGAGGCCCCCCAAACGGCTTCCGACGGCGTCAGACGGACCAGGAGCCCACCAAGACGGCCGCACATGGCCCTAAGATGGCCCAAGACGGCCCAAGAGGCCTCCAAGAGGGCCTCCAGGAAGGCCCGAAGAGGCCAAAATCATTGATTTTCCTTAGATTTTTGAAGGATTGTGGCATTTGCGTTTTTTCTGCCTTCCGACGGCCCGAGACGGCCCAAGTGCCCACAAAGATCGCCCAAGAGGCCCAAGACACGGCCCAAAGAGGCCCCCAAGACGGCCCAAGAGGTCTCCAAGACGCTCGAGATAGCCTCCAAGACGGCCCAAGAGCCCTCCAAGACGTCCTCCAAGAAGGCCCGAAAGGGTCAGAATGGCCTCCAGACGGCCAAGATGACCTTCAAGATGCCCACGTGTTCCCCGAAGGCTTCCCAAACCGAATCGGGGAACACGTGGTCCTACAGCTTGGCAGGCCTCTGGCCACAATCTTCGGCCACATAGGCGCTTCCAAAAAGGCAGGGGGCAGCGGTGATTTGCCGTAGGTTGGGCGCCCGAAATATCCGGGGTAACTCGGGTCCGGGGTAACTCGGGCTTGGATTCCCGAAAAAGGAACCCGAGTTAGCCCTGACCCGAATTACCCCTGATGATTCGGGGCTCTGGACGCCCGAACTATCCGGGGTAACTCGGGTCCGGGGTAAGTCGGGTTCGGATTCCCGAAAAATGAACCCGAGTTAGCCCTGACCCGAGTTACCCCTGATGACTCGGGGCTCTGAGTAGGCGTCTTCGATACCGTGAAGCCAGAAACATACTAATGCTGGAGGAGCTCCGTCTCCGGCTTCTCCCGCTCCTCCGTGCCGTCGCCGCCGCCCCCGCCGCCGCCGCCCCCGCCGTCGCCACCGCCTTTCGTCGTCGGCGGTTTCGTCGCCGGCTTCGCCGCGGATGGGCAACGTTATATAAGGCGGTTGACCAGCTCGGAGGAGAACCTCGAGCTTCACTCGGCGATACCTCGCCGATGGAGCGGCGACGTGGCCCCGAGGGCAAGGCAGCACGGCCCTGGGCGGGGTGGGCCATCAGGCCCCTGTCGGCCATCTGTAGGCGATTGTCACCAGCCTGGAACAGATCCCTATCCCTGAGCTGGGCATCGCCTCGAGACAATGCCAATATTAGGGATTCCCTTAGTTTTTCAGGGCGCATCCCCAAGATTGTCATCGCCTTTTGGCGTGTCAATCTTAGGGGTAGGGATACTTTCGAGGCTGGTGAGATCGGGGGTCGCTGCGTCCCCCCCCGAGCCTGTTCCCCCCTTATCGCCGCCCCGGAGCCGCTGCCCCCCCCCCCGCCGCCTCCGTGCGACTTGTCGCGCCGCTGCTCCTGGGCGAGGACGGCGCGCGCGCACCGTCCGCCGCCGAGGCCCGCGGGCCCCTCGCCGAGGGCGGTGCCCCCTGGCGAGCGTCCACGGGCCCCCCGCCGCCGCCGCCCCCCCCCCTCCCCGTGGAGTTGATCAAACCGTGTGTGCGTACCACCTCGTTTTGCTGCGTTGCATCGCCATCACCAGCATCATCATCATCCTCATCATCATCATCATCATCATCATCATCATCATCATCATCGGCATAAGTTGATAAAGTCGTGCGCGTGTGTACATGCATGTTTTCATAGTATCACATACTGTGTTCGCATATCATCGTTGTCGCGACCCAAACACCCCAAGAGATGTGCGATCTGGTGGCAAACAATCCGTGCGTCGAATCCACAGGGCACCATCGGGAAGCACAGCCCACCGGACTAAGGGAATAACCCCCTGGGGCTAGGCACCCATAGCGGGTTCCATAAGCCCTCCTCTCCTCCTTCCTCCTCTTCCTCCTCCTCCTCCGCCTCCACCTCCGTCTCTTCCTCCTCACCCCTCTTACTTCCAGTGGGTGAGCGCCGAAGCGCGTTCCAGAGGGACATCTTAAGCCTTAATCCTTCGATTCTCCGGCCTCCGGAGGCCCGAAACAAACACGAGCGAATTACAAGATTAAATGTTTTCGCAGCGGGTAACAACACAAATCCTTATGTGATAAAATGCAAATAGAATCTGCTGGCAGGTTATGACGATGTTGATAGCGATTATGCTTCGCAAAGGGTTCCGAAGGCCATTGCAACGATAAGCGCGTGTTTCAAGATGCTGTTGATAACGACGGTGGTGACACGCATTCCTTTGAAGGTGATGGCGATGACGATGCCGGTGACGAGTATGTGTTCCAAGACGCTGCTGATGACGTTGGTGATGACGAGTATGTGTTTCAAGATGCTGCTGATGACGATGATGGTGACGAGTATGTGTTTCAAGATGCTGCTGATGACGATGGTGATGACAAGTGCGTGTTTCAAGATGCTGCTGATGATGAGGGTGATGACGAGTATGTGTTTCAAGATGCTGCTGATGACGATGGTGATGACGAGCAGTTGTTTCAAGATGCTGCTGATGACGATGGTGATGACGAGCATGTGTTTCAAGATGCTGCTGATGACGATGGTGATGACGTGCATGTGTTTCAAGATGCTGCTGATGACGATGGTAATGACGAGCATGCGTTTCAAGATGCTGCTGATGACGATGATGATGACGAGCATGTGCTCCAAGATGCTGCTGATGACGGTGGTGATGACGAGTATGTGTTTCAAGATGCTGCTGATGACGATGATGATGACGAGCATGTGTTTCAAGATGCTGCGATGACGATGATGATGACGAGTATGTGTTTCAAGATGCTGCTGATGACGATGATGATGACGAGCATGTGTTTCAAGATGCTGCTGATGACGATGATGATGACGAGTATGTGTTTCAAGATGCTGCTGATGACGATGGTGACGACGAGCATGTGTTTCAAGATGCTGCTGATGACGATGGTGATGACGAGCATGTGTTTCAAGATGCTGCTGATGACGATGGTGATGACGAGCATGTGCTCCAAGATGCTGCTGATGACGATGGTGATGACGAGCATGTGTTTCAAGATGCTGCTGATGACGATGGTGATGACGAGCATGTGTTTCAAGATGCTGCTGATGACGATGGTGATGACGAGTATGTGTTTCAAGATGCTGCTGATAACGATGATGATGATGACGGGTATGTGTTTCAAGATGCTGCTGATGAAGATGATGATGATGACGAGTATGTGTTTCAAGATGCTGCTGATGACGATGGTGACGACGAGCATGTGTTTCAAGATGCTGCTGATGACGATGATGATGATGATGACGAGTATGTGTTTCAATATTCTGTTGATGACGATAGTGCTGACGAGTATGTGTTTCAAGTTGCTGCTGATGATGATGGTGATGACGAGATGCGTTGGGAGCAATGCGTTGTCATAATGAGCTTCACAGGGCACAATCGGGTGGGAAGCACAGCCCACCAGACTAAGGGAATAACTCCCTGGGGCTAGGCACCCATAGCGGGTTCCATAAGTTCTCCTCTCTTTCCCCTTCTTCCTCCTCCTCCTCCTCCTCCGCCTCCACTTCCGTCTGTTCCTCCTCACCCCTCTTACTTCCAGCAGGTGAGCGCCGAAGCGCGTTCCAGAGAGATATCTTAAGCCTTAATCTCTCGATTCTCCGGCCTCCGGAGGCCCGAAACAAACATTAGCGGATTCCACATTGATTTCTTTTGTTGTTGAATTACAAAGGGAATCCTTTTGTGGTGAACTACACATTGTTTTCTTTTGTGGCGGATTACAACAGGATTCCTTTTGTGGAGGATTACAAAATAGGATTTCTTTTGTGGAGGATCGCACAATGATTCTTTTTGTGGCGAATTGCAAAGGGAATCCTTTTGTGGTGAATTAGAACTTGCTTCCTTTTGTGGCGGATTACAAAAGGATTCCTTTTGTGGAGGATGATAAAGGGATTTCTTTTGTGGAGGATTACAAATTGATTTCCTTTGAGCGCCTTCCTGGAAGTGAACCAGGGAACAAACAAAAAACAAAAAAAACAAAAAACATAAAATCATTGAAAATTAAGAAAATTACAATTGTTCAATGAATTGCCAATGCTTTGAAACAGAAACATACTAAAACACAACATGTTCCCAAGGTTTTGATGCCGAAACCATATGAAAACACAGCATGTTCACATTCGGAATGTCAAAATGCTGTGTTTTTACATGTGTTTGCTTCCAAACATTGTAAATTCATTAACAAAAACAACTTTCCGAATTTTCAATGATTTCCGGATTTTTCTTTTTCTTTTGTCCCCTGGTTCACTTCCAGGAAGGCGCTCAAAGGAAATCAATGAGTAGTCCTCCACAAAAGGAATCCCTGTGTAATACTCCACAAAAGGAAATCCGTTTGTAATCCGCCACAAAAGGAAGCAAGTTCTAATTCACCACAAAAGGATTCCCTTTGCAATTCGCCACAAAAAGGAATCATTGTGTGATCGTTCACAAAAGGAATCCTTTTGTAATCCTCCACAAAAGGAATCCTCTTGTAATCCGCCGCGAAAGGAAACCATTCGTAATTCACCACGAAAAGAATTCCCTTTATAATCCGCCACAAAAAAGAATCACTTTAAAGTTTGCTACAAAAGGAATCATTCTGCATTCCGCTACTTTGAGCAATCCCTTTAGAGATGACGAAAAGCATAATCAAAAGGAAAGCAATTACAGAAGAAGTAATAGACCAAACACCGAGGTGGTACCACACACACACACACACGATTTTATCAACCTTACCCCCCCTCCCCTCCGAGGGGCCCCCGCCCCTCGCGTCACGCACGAGCCGCGCCCTCGCGGCCGGGCTTCGGGGGCATGATACCCGCGGCCCTCGCGGCGCGACCGGGCGCGCTCGGACCAGAAGCCGCCGAGGCGAACCCCAAAAACTGTGGCGACGAGGGCCTCCCGGGAAGCCCAGGAGGGCGAAGAAGAAAGGCGAGGGCAGGGCCCTCGGCGGTGCCCCTCCCAGCTCCGAGATACGTCTTGCGCCCACGAGCCGCGGCGAGGCCAGCGGTACCGCCGATCCTGGACCCTGCGGGCCTCCGTCCCCGGCCGCCCTCGACCTGGACGGGGGGGGGGGGCGGGCTTGGGGAGGGGGGGACCGGCATCGGGGTGGACACATCGACCTGGAATCGGCGATACTGAAGGGGCCCTGGGACACACAAATAAATACACACAAATAAAAAGAGTCCCCATATTTTCCCATATTTTCTGGGTGTCTGTCTTCCCCCCCATTTCCCACATTTTCCTATATTTTCCTGGGGATCGTCGACTAATTGTGTCTGTGTTTGTTCCCTCTTGAGATACATCGCCGACGGATCGGCGACAGGCTCGCCATAGCGTGTTCGCGGCACGTTCCTGGGCAGGTTGGGGCCGTCGGGCCCCTATCGGCGATCATTGGGCGACTCGGGGTCGACGTGTCCCCCCCTTCTGGTTATCCCCCCCTATCCTTGCCCCTTCAGGGGGGGGCCTTGGAGAGATCCGCGCTCGGAGTGATCGCAACATCATGGGCACGACTGCAACACTCATGCCGGGTGTTGCCAGAAGTGCCTCTGGCTCCAGGTGCCCCCAGGATTTCCAACGAGGCCCCCACGGCTTCCAGAGCACCCCTTACGAGGCCAAGGGGGCCCCAGGGGCTCCGAAAATGAGCGAAAAGCTGACCCCGATCTTTGGCAGCGTGCGGACGACCGGCGCAGCCGAAGCGGCAAACCGAGCGGTGATATCGCAAACTAAAAACGCAAGAAGCCAGAGCAAGGGTGGCGGCATGACTGCAACAGTCAGGCAGCAGGAGGGGCACAAGAAGACCCAAGCATCCGACGCCGGGATTCTTTCACAGCGCGGCTCCCCAAAGGTCTGAACCCCTTTCCCGGGACCGGTGATCTGTCTCGGGCAATTCTTCCGGGAGGCCGAAAGTGACCCGGCCGAAAAACTGTTCTTGTGTTCAGTTTTTTTGTGCTCTCTCTCTCTCTCTCCCTCTCTCGCCCTCTCTTTCTCTCTGTCTCTCTCCCTCTCTATTATCCTGTCCATTCGCATGTTATTGAGAAATTGCATGTGCAGCTCTAGGCATGTTAACATGAATATACACGTCTCTGTTTTTTTTTTTTTCTCTCTCTCTCTCTCTCTTTTTCCCTGCCTGTTGATCTCGGCCCCTGGCGCCCGCCCGCGTCCTTCCTCCTCCCTCGGCTCCCCCATCCGCGTCCTTGTTATTGGCGCCGGCTGCGGGCACGTAGCGGCCGTGGGCCCCACTCGGAGGGGCGGGCGGGCAGTGCCGCACACCCACTCCGAATCGTACGAGGGCCACGGCGAAGAACAGCCTCTCGCCGTTCGGCACAGGCTGCCGTATGATGCCGCGGGGGACAGGCTGACCGACTTCCTCCATCCAGCCGCCAGTTCG